AGTAAATTTTGTAATATTTTTTTCTGAAGTGATGAATCTATCAAGAGTTAAGACATAATTAATAATTTAGTTTAAATTATAGATAAATATTTTAACATGGTAAACATACTGACGGGACAGCTGCCATCGCAGCACTTGAACCGTAAGCACCGCCGGGAATTATTCGGCTACAACTAATTTGCCTTAATAAACTTACCTCAACCGAAATGCATGCGGAACGTGCATTAAAATTTTCCGACAGCCCGGCAAAAACCTTTATGGGCCGGTGGTGCAGCGTTATGGCTCGCCGTGGGACTACAAACTCCGATTATCCAAACACAGTGCACCCGAAACGAGCGTTGTGAAATTTAAATGTGTAATTGATTATGAAGTTGGTCACTAATGGGCGAAAATAGTTTCTAATTTAGAATGGTGGTGGCAGCCGTAATTGGTCTCGGTCTGCGCCGCTGTTAATCATTAACGTGCTGGACTCCGAGTCCCATGCGGCCGCGGCCGGTGTGTATCCTCCAATTTGGCTGCATCCGTAGGAATCTGGTTTAATGACGATGTCGCCCCGTCTTCTATTTCGACTTCCATATCTACGATTCTATCAATGTTTGGGTTGGTGTTCTTGCACTTTTCTTAGAATCGGTTTTACCTCATTCGACAATCTCCGAAACACGTATTCACTTAATGTAAAAATAAATCTGGGACAAAATTACTAACGGGGCAACGATGTTAAATATGTACCCACAAGCACCTATCCTCGAGGCAATCAAGAAATGTTAAATCTCCACCTTGATTCGATCGGAAATTGAGTCAGACACACTAAAAAATAGCAACGTCACGCCAAATTCTCAGAAAATATATTTCTCTCGCGCATGGCGCTTAATAGACTTTGGTATTCCTTATAATCTACATTGATTCATATTTGTTTCTTAGGTTTTCACGCACATCACTCATTAAATAAAACTAGTTTTTTACGGGTTAATGCACGAAACTTTATTTATTTATTGACGTTTCCTGTAAAGGCTACGAAACGTCAATAAATAATTATAAAAATTTCGTGCATTAACCCGTAAAAAACTAGTTTCATTTACATTAATTCATGTCAAACTTTTAAAAAGGAACCTTTGAATCTTACATCACATATAGGTAGGTACATATGTTACTGAATTGCAGTTCGTGCAAACGTTCATCAACAAATGAATCCGTAATAAACAGATATCCATTAAAGGTGGGTAATAAATGATACATTATTTAAATTTTCACTTAGCCGTTCCGTTTATAATCCTCTTACCTCTTTGTCAGAGCGTCCAAATTACAATCGCATAGTTTTTATTCGTTTCGACAGACGTCCGATGAGTCCTAATTCGTGCGTATTGACATTTGGAAAGTCAGCGTTAATGGAAGGCGTGAGCTTTTTTGTTCTGCCGCCTGCCGTCTAATCTCGGTGGCTGCATTCAGCACGGGTTGTTTTCCGAGTGGCGGCCCGTGTCGCTGTCACCGATCGGTAATTATTCACGAAGGCTCGCGTCACGGTCGCGGACTGAGCCGCGAGTGAGAGCGGGCTTGAACCGCCACTGTTCGGCGGTTCAAGCCACAATTAACGGCCGATCCTAATATCCAATCTCAATCCGAAAACTCCAATCTAAGATTGAATTTTTAATCTTTGGATTGCTAATAACGTTACAATAATCAAACTTTGGTTTGAATCTTTGATCCGAGCAATGTAAACTATCCTGTTCGTAGTTAGAGATTGTTTTTGTATGAAAATGGCAGTTTCGGTGTTTCAATATGCAAACTGTTGTTTTGACAGACGATTTTGTTAAAGGTAAACTATCGTTCTTTTATATTCCTTGTTTTCGACGGATTATCATAGATCCATACATTGTTATAAAATTTTGCCCTGGTTTGGAGAAATGCTACTCGACAATAGATAGCGATACAGATTTGGAGATATTAATTTATGAGGGATAGAGCATAGCGCATATATTTATTTTGCATAATAAAATATCTTGAGTATAAATAATGATTGATTATTAATTTTTACAGTGACATGGCAAAACCGCATGGTAACGACCATAGACATATCACATATGAAGAAACATGGGGCCCAATTCTGGCAAATTTCTAAACCAAAATTTACAAGTCAAGAGTGTATCCTAGTCATACTCTATACGGAATGAAAAGGAGAGACTGTTGTCAGGATCAGGCCTATTGTGCTGGAATGAAATTAACTGAAAACTGTTGTCGTCCATGGAGGATTGTGAACCTCCCAGTATATTAAAACTTGGATTACAGATCTATCCATAGTTCATGAACAAGCTAGGATTGGTTTTAATCTAAGAATAAAGATTGAATATTGAGATCGGCTGTAAAAAAACAATTCGTGGCAATCCTGATTGAAAACAAATAAAAGAAGTACAAAATAAATATAACGGTTGTCTATTCCATTTTTATACTCAAAAGGTGATCAGATTTTTCGTCTAACTGCCCGTTTATTCGCTTCGCTCGTGACACAGGTACGGCTTGTCGGTTGGCCATTTCGAAAAAAATTTCGTTCGGACGTACCGTAATGTAGTAGGTCCTATTTACTTCGACTCACTTTGGTACCTATAGATACTTGTGCGTAAGTTTAACTGGTCTGAAAAAAAACAATAATAAGATAGGTATTTACTTTTTTCGTAGATTACTCATTTCGGGTACATACCTACTTAACAATTACATCCTAGTCATTCCAAAAGGAATAACGAACATTATCTCTAATAGGTACTTATCAAATTTGTAATGCCATTTTTAAATACATGCCCATTTTAGCAAACGTTGTACGTTATAAGCAGATAAAAGTGTTTACGATATGCGACAAGGGTGGGCGGCAATGCTATGATTTATAATCATTTATTAAAGTATTATTACCACTAATTAGCAGTTACATGCACGCGTCGCAATGAAATATGAGCTGCGTTAAACATACTCAACCAGGTTTTTGTGAGTGGCCGGGCGAATAAAGCATTATTTTAAAAACAATGTAGGTAATTATGCGATTAGTCGCGGTGTCATTTGGGGTCGCTACGGACGACGCATAAGCATAAGGCAGTGCAGTTGATTAGCTCCCGTCGCGGCGTAAACAAACAGTAGTTGAGTTGACACGATTTGGAGCGGTGCATGCTTCCGGTCAATATCCGTTGGCTATTATTTATGGGCGTCGATCGGACGCACACTCCAAAACACACAAAAATGAGAGACGAGAACCATTCGTCACACGGTTTACAATGCTGGTATTGTTCTATTCGCTCTGCTGGTAGGGCCCAACTGTTTTGTACCTACTTGACTACTTGCCTACAACAAAATGGACGTGGTAAATTGTTACATTGTTACTGAAATAGAGTACGTATAAGTTCCTGTTTTCAGCGACCGTTCACTATTCGTTTGTACACAAACTTAGAAGATTTAAATTAAGAAGTAAACTGTAATATACATAAGAATAAAATGTGTGTCATTTAAACAAACAATTACTTTGTAACAATCAGTTTGAAATATTTTTTACAAAACAAGACGATTCACAAACAATTAATTACATCGAATTTACTTCCCAAGTTTCCAAAGAAATTCACCTACCGTACCATACGAATAGGTAAATTAGAGAACCCTTAATTATTTATGTTTTTTCTCCCGTAGATTTACGATACTAACTTGGGTTTTCGTGTTGCTCTTTCCATACATCCATCCATGCTTTTTGATTTCAATGTATAATTAGAAGACGTAAGTCATAATATGAGGAATAGGAATCGTAGCTTAAAAGCCAGTGTTTATGTTATATTAAATAGGAGGTTGATAATATGACCAATTTCTTTGCTATGCTGAGCCATTTTCAGAGACCGCAATAAAATAGGAAAATTATACAGTCGCAGTGATAGCGTAGCGCATATATATTGAACTTTATGAAGTTTGAATGTATCTTGCGTAACAAAGCGTTGAAGATTGTGCAACGCTAGGCGTTGTTGCAATTTGTTTTAACTCCGCGAAGCAAACAGAAAGAATGTGTAGCTTTAAAAAAAGGTTTCACACAGGTCTAGGGCAGTGCCAGTATTTGACTCGCCTAATTTGGCACATTGAAAGGTAATTGTACACAAATTAATTTATCCGTGACCACTGCTAAATCCACGCTTGCCTTTATAGCTTACGGGTAATTTTTTGGACGACACGATCTCAATTACAGAGTTTTTTTCTTCGCTATTCATTCGATATTTAGGGTACATAATTTGCTATAGTTCGGAGACGGCGAGTCGTGTTTCACGTTCTAATTAATCGCTTGAGTAGTTGTGCTAATTTTTTCGAGAAATATTACAGGCGATAAATTTCATGGTGCTGCATTTTATGCCGAACATAAAAACTGGTTATGAATTGTCGCACTGTTTCGAGATGATTGCCTTTAATATGACTTATGGATATTTCCGGTTGGTGGGTCTATTAAGTACCATTAAGTTACCATTTAAAACTACTATCTTTAAACTAGTCATTTTAATTGTCTTTCAATGATCTCTTTTTTTATTGTCTTTCAAATTATTATTGTACTTACCACGGAGAGTGCTGAAGAACTTTTAGATAGTGATGCCCATGGCCACCTTTTATCATCACAAAGCATGAGACCGATAAGGAATCTTCACACATTTCGAACCAAAACTGATCCATACACAATTACCACTTATTTAATGGTTTATCGATACCGCATGTGTTTGGACTATTAATATTCATATACACGTATCTACTCAAATTTAAAACAAACGTATTGTACCAGAGAAATCTTTGTATACATCCCAGCAAACTTCTTGAGCAACGACCATAGACAAGGATGCCTGCGCACTAGCAATTTTACATAGAAAAACGTCTACTGCGCAAGTTTATTTGTCTGTGGTTTTGTTTAAGAAGTTTGCCGCGATCTATAGGTACTGCAGCTAGATAGCTTTATTACATTGTTATGAATGTTTAATGTATGGTTTATATTAATTTGGTTGCAGTGCGAGAGGCGAACGCCGCAGCAGGCGAGCGGCGGCAGTCCGGGCCTCCCCCACATGCTAGCCATGGACGTCACCAAGGAGGCGCGCGCATCGCCGCTGCCGGCTTCTGCTCAGCAGCCGTCCGCATCCTCGCAGCAGCCGCAACAGCCTCAGGTACCACTAAAATTCTTCAATAACTAGTCTTTTGCTTCATTAAACTTGCAACTTGATGACGTAACGTCACACAGAAACCTATGAGAAGGAAGTTCGGTTTGTTTATGTTTGCCCATATATTTTCCTACCGCTAACCGCGGCGGATGTGGGTTGCGCCGGTGTTCATTTGTAGGGCTCACCCGCGCGGTTAAGCGCATGCCAGTGCATTGTCGTAGATCATATATGCTTATACAAATTAAAATCCGCGCGTCGCCATCCGCCGCAGTTCACGGCTCGTGCGTTGTTCACCTTACTTCGCTCTGCTCTACTTATAAAATCGGCTGACACCAAATATTGTTGATTCTAAATATTATTAATGTGAAAGTTGTGTGTTTGATACTCAACCACGCAAAAACTACTGAACAAATATGGATGAAATTGGGTTATAGTTTATGATCTGGATTGAGACATAAGATACTTTTTATCCAAGAAAAAAGTTAGGTTCTTGTTTGATTCTGAAAAAACTAAAGTGTTAACACGGATAATGTCGCAAGCTGCCATTAGTTTTGTATATTTCCAGCTCGGCAGCTTGTAATAAGCGGGGCCCTAACCACTTAAACTAGATAATATCTTGCCCCTATCACCGGTACATATTACGAAGACTAAAGGTTCCAAAAGTTCCGGAAGGTGGTGGGTTCGTGGCAACTTGTTACAACTGGCTACGGACCCGCAGAAGATTGTCAGCATCCGGTCTACTTCGATAGCCCAAAGTATAAAGAGCATCAATTATGCGAGGAACTTGTGCTACATAGCATGCTGCTCCCACCTCAAGACGGCTGCTCAAGATTACAGCCATTGCTCTCTCTCTCTTTGTTCAAAATAAATAATTTAGTACTTTTGAGCACAAAGCGGACATCTCCGCTCCGCGTGGTTGTTTCATGTTATTTCATAAAGCAGCGCTGCGTGAGGCGGGTCTTCCGCGCATCGCTGTTCTATGAAATGACATAAAACTGCACTCAGAGCGGACCTCCGTGCTCCCGCTTAAAGCAGCGCAGGCCGTTAATTCAAACAGCTTCTTAAAAAGTGTTTATAATTTGTCAGCAGATATGTGCTGGGTGTAGCAAGGTGATAACGGAGCGGTACCTGCTGAAGGCCCTGGACCAGTTGTGGCACGAAGATTGCCTCAAGTGCGGCTGCTGCGACTGCCGCCTCGGGGAGGTTGGGCACACACTCTACACGCGAGCTAACCTTATACTGTGCAAACGGGACTATTTGAGGTTGGTATCTATTGATGAGAAGCCGCTGTTGGTCAATTGGACTTTTTGCAAAGAAAAATCTTTTTTCTCCGTTTGATATAGGTATTTGGAAGACATCTAATAAATTTCTTATTGAAGCCTTCCGTCCCACCTAGAGATAAGTACTAGACGAAACCAGATTTGCAAATAAAAACGCAAGTGCGATCCTGCGTGGAATATTTCTCGCACCTCTGGGATGGCTCCGCTAAGTACTCACTTGATGCTTTGGATAAATTGCAGCGGGGCGCTGCTCGCATCATTGGCGATGAAGAGGTATCTAACAAAGTCGAGTCTCTACAATTACGCTGCGGTGTGGCATCATTAAGCGCATTCTGCCGAGTATACCACGGCGAATGTTCTGTGGAGTTATTCTCCCTTATCCCTCTATCAACTTTTCTTTAGAGGACCACGCGCACTGGCCTTCGTTGCCACCGACTTACTGCGGCCACTATTCCTACACGAAAAAAGAAATTTGATGACTCATTTCTTTGTCGTACTATTCGTAAGTGGAATTCTTTGCCCACGCACGTATTCCCTCCTTCCTACAATCTGGGGTCCTTTAAGAGAGGCGTGAAGAAGTATTTTTGCAGGCCGGAAAGGTAAGGATGGTTGGTGTAGTTTATAACTGCTGTTCCAGTTATTTTCGCGTTTGGACTTTATCACCACTTAAAACTTTTTCAACATCCGATGGTGTGAGTCATTTGCTTACCTAGACTATGTAAAAAAACCTACTTATATAAAAAAATGCATAGGTGCGGATGAGAAAAGTGTGTGTAGCTTTATTTAGCTTGCTAAATTGAACCTATATTCTTATCACTTGGAAATCTGGAAATCTGAGTGACCGCAGAACCGATGAGCTATAAGAAGTAAAGCCATTGGTCCCGTCTGACTAAATTAAACTAAATTCGTTACTAATCCACTCTGGGTCCGGGTTTATCGGGCCTCAACAATAGGAAGCACTTATATGATGCTGACGAAATCTTATTTGTCACAGGTTATTCGGGAATACCGGGTATTGTGCTGCGTGCAATAAGGTGATACCCGCTTTCGAGATGGTGATGCGAGCACGCAGCAATGTTTACCATCTCGAGTGTTTCGCTTGCCAGCAGTGCAACCATAGGTAAGTGTTGTTCATTTCTAGTTTGTTTTTTTGTTATTTACAGCCAGGTCGCTAAACTTGTAACGTACCTTAATATGGTTTCGACTCATGGTTTCGATTATCATAGGTTCCATTTCGCACATTTTATCATATAACATCATCGATATTCATCAGGCATCATCATATATTTTATCATTTATTCCTGGAAACACATAATTTCAAAAATATCACACACTATTCATCACTTTGTAAATACGTATAATAATTTCTTCTGTACTGAAAATCACTATTCCAGAGTGCTGGACACTTACCGGCATTTCTCTTTATTCTGTTATTTACTTGTTTTCACTTATTATGCTTTGATTTTATCTATATTTAATTTATTTATTTTATTGACATTTTATGACAACCTAATGTTTTTTATCCGTTGCCATGGCTACCCATGACACGGATACTCTCTCCAACTACGTCTATGACTATTCAACCTCCACAGACCACTTACTTTGATTCTTTTTGGCTCGATTCGAACCGTGTCTAAATTCAAATGGTTCCGGACCTATAAAAGGCCGAGCCTCCCTGATCATTGATTCAATTCTACGGCAAAAGTTGCCTACTCAACTTTTGAAAGCTCGCTACCGAGCTCTAAATTAATAAAAGGCCTTGTCCCGGGGCCGACTGCCCCGGGACTCAAGAAAGACCTCAAAGCTTTTTAGCACCTATTGGCTCTTTAAACAACTTCCTAACTCCAATACTATACTACTATACACGTTCTCGCAACCTCATCGGTGGGACTGCTCCTGGTCTCCAGCTTCTTCGGCCAGCCTCCAGCTGCTTCAGCCCGCCTTCTACCGACTCCTGCCGTTTCTTCAACGCCCGCCTCTGGCCGATATACGCCGGCCAAACTACCAGCAGCGCCGCCAGCAACCACCAGGGGAGGCCAAGATCTAAGACGGCTGCACAGGAGCGCTTCTGCCTCCAAGGAGCGCCGTCCATCTACCTGTAGCACGACATACCGTTCAAGCTGCCCCTGAAGATCGCCGACGACCCACGCCCTACCGTTCAAGCCGCCCCTGAAGATCGCCGACGACCCACGCCCACTTCACAACTCACACTACACACATATTCCATATTTTTTTTTTAATAATCTGTAAATACTACTTTATCTTGTAAATATATATTCCTATACTGTTCTTTTGATTTTTCCTTCCTTTCTATCTAGTTTTATTTTGTTGCTACACAACAAAATTGGCCCCAAAGATGTCGTGGACAGCAAAGGAAAAGGCGGATGGGATGGGAAAACAGGTTTATTTTGGAATTTTGACTATAAACTGTAACACCGAAACTGTATAAAAAAGGAGTGCAATAAAAATAGCTGAATACTTGACATTAATAGACTAAAGAGTTAGCTCACAGATTCATAGAGAAATACATATATATAAAAAGTGTGTATGTGACGGAGGTCTGTCCGTGACATGGCCCTCCTCGTAAACGAATGTTTACAAATAGAAGGAAGCAAGGACTGACCTCTGTTCACAGCTATAAGTAACATCTATGTATACTAAAACTCTAACATGAACAGAAATTAGTAAGTACAAAACAACAGAACAAACAATTAATCCTAACGATTGTAAGAAAGAAACACAACAAACAACTAATTCTAGCTGCTTTAAATGAATGAGGCAACTGTTCAACAAAAATCGTAAAACGAAACAAGAAAAATCACAATAACAGTCACCACTATGACAATAAAAACACAATATTTTATGCATTCGAACCTACTTCTAACTTAATTAATTTCCGAATTGGTCGTCTCAAAATTCCTCCAACTGTCTGCACATCTGCCACTCGCACTATTCCATCCCGTCCTGGGAAAACTTTGGTCACTCTACCCTTTAGCCACATACCACGTGGTAAGTTCGAGTCGCAAATGAGCACGACATCCCCAACTACTATATCTCGAGACGAGCGCGCAGAATTATTTGTTCGACGGGTCAAAACTGGTAGATACTCATGGACCCACCGATTCCAGAAATGGTCGGCTAATCTAACAGCCTTTCTCCAATTGGTTCTTCTCAAAAAGTCATCGTCCGTTAAATCGCAAGGAACTGGCAAAGTCGATGACTGGCCGATCAAAAAATGATTGGGCGTTAACGCTGGAGCATCTTCCACATCTACGGAGACATGAGTGAGTGGGCGGGAGTTAACAATACTCTCAGCTTCCTGAAGAAGCGTCAACAGAACTTCCTCTCGTGGAGCTCTCTGTTTTAATGTTGCAGAAAGGGTGCGTTTGACGCAACCCACTAGACGCTCCCAAACACCTCCCATTGATGGCGCAGATGGTGGTAGAAAGTGCCACTCGATACTCTTGTTGACTGCAAAATCAATGATTTCAGGTCGAATCGATTGCCATTCTCTTTTGATTTCGCGGCTTACACCGACGAAAGCAGTTCCGTTGTCGGAAAATATTTTGTGGGGACAACCACGCCTCGCAATAAATCGACGTAAGGCCATGATTGCGGAATCTGCTGTTAAGTTTGCTACCACTTCGAGGTGTATCGCTCTTGTCGAAAAGCATGTAAAGAGGGCAACCCACCGTTTTTCTCTACGGCGGCCAACAGTGACTTCAACTGGCCCAAAGTAGTCCAGTCCGATAATTGAAAAGGGGCGATGATGGTGTATAAGTCTGTCCCCTGGTAGATCTGCTATCGGTGGAACATATGGCATTGCTTTTCTGTTTCGGCACACCTGACATGACGCAGCAATGGCACGTACCGTCGGTCGCAAACGTGTAACCCAAAAACGTTGCCGTACTTCATTGACTACGGTTTCGCGTCCTGCATGACCAGCCCAAACATGATAGTGTGCGACAATAAGGCGAGATATATGGTGTCGGCCATTCAAAATAATCGGTCGTTTTGTTCCTTCTGGGATACCATCAGCAGCAGAAATTCGACCATCAACACGTAGTAGACCGCTCTCGTCCATCTTAGTGCAAATATTCTTTAAAGTGGCCTCCTTTATACCCTCTTGGCAATGCCTTAACAGGTGCAATTCTGCGCTTCTAATATCTTTGCAAAGAAGGGGGTGCAGACCTTCTACGTGGCGTGAGCATGTGCGAGCAGATTTATCGCGTAACAGTCGCAAATATTGATGTGCTCTAGCAGTAGCACGTAGTAGTCGCAGCCAGGAACTAAATCTAGTGTCATTAGCTACAATATTTACATAACGAGGAACGATATTTACAGGCCCTATAACTAAAGTATTCTCTACGATTAAACTAGAAATAGCGGGTTCAGGTTCCGCAGGAAAAGTGATTTCATTAAACAATAAGAATTGCGGGCCTTGAAACCACCTATCCAGCGAATCCACCCCATTTAACATGACGCGAGTCGCAGCATCAGCTGCATTTGATGCTGTTGGTATCCAAAACCATTCATTTATAAAGGTGAATTCCGAAATTTCACCAACGCGATTTCGTATAAATGGGTTTGAATCGCTGGCCGCCCCCCGAATCCAGGCAAGGACGGTTTTTGAATCGCACCAAAAAAATCTTTTCGTGGGTGACAATCCTTGCTGTTCACAAATCGTCCTGGCCATTTTTACACCTAACAACGCGGCTTGAAGCTCGAGTCGAGGCACTGAAACAGGTTTCAGTGGCGCGACTCGCGACTTACTCATAACAAACGCCACTTTTACTGACTCGTCTGAATAAACAAAACGCCAGTAGGCGACACACGCGTAAGCTTGATTACTCGCGTCAGTAAAGATATGCAACTCTCGCACAACCGGACCCACGGTAGAAAAATAGCAGCGAGGCATTACTAACGAATTAGCTGATATTATGCAATGGAACCAAGCCCCCCACATATCTTGTTGATCTACAGGAAGAATCTGATCCCAATCCTTTACTGAATGCCAAGTTTTTTGAAACAGTATCTTTCCTGAGGTGATGATGGGGCACAGAAAGCCTAAGGGATCAAAAACTTTCATCAATTCTTTAAGGACTTGACGCTTAGTCAACTCTTCTAAAAAAGGTTGTGTAACATTAATTTTAAATATAAAAACATCAAGATGCGGGACCCAATGCATTCCCAAAACTCGTAAACTAGAATTCTCTAAATTCATATCAACAGAATTAACGTTTTGGTTAATTAAATGAGGCGGCAAAAGCTCGAGAGCTTTGGGATTATTAGATACCCACGAACGCATTTCAAAGCCGCATTGGCTGTATATGTGAACTACATCGGCTGCGACTTGCGCAGCATGCTTAACATCATCAAAACTTTGAAGGTAATCATCCATGTAATGGTTTTCTATTATTGCCTTCACTGCCTCTGAATACTCAGCCTCAAAATTCTTAGCGTTTCTATTCTTTATATACATCGCTATAAATGGGGAACAACAAGCACCAAAAATTAAAGACGACATTCTGTATTCTTTGACTAAGCCGTCGATGTCGTTTCGCCACAGGTATCTCTGACGATCGCGATCCTGGTCACGAATCTTTATTTGGGAGAACATCTCTCTAATGTCTCCCGTTAAAGCTACTTTTCCTTCGCGAAATTTGAGTAATATCCCTAATAACGACTGTAAAATATCTGGCCCTGGCAATAAAAGCGAATTCAAACTTACTCCATTTGTCCGTGCTGCAGCATCGTGCACGATGCGTAGCTTACCGGGCTTATTTACATTAGACACTCCGAAATGTGGTAAATACCATCGCTTCGAAGAAGTATCAGGGGTGTCGTGAAGATTTGGAGCCTTTTCGGCGTAGTCTTTCTGAACATATGCTTCAATATTTTCAGAATAAAGCTTAAAATAAACAGAATCGCGTTTGAAACGCTTAGTCAAAGAATTCAGCCTGTGTAATGCTAGATTGTAGCCATCTGCTATGTAGGATTTCTCCACACGCCATGGCAATCCTACCTCAAAACGGCCATTAGATAGACGGCGCGTTGTTTGATCTAAAATATCTATTGCTTTTTGTTCCTCGGCAGTGAACGTATCTTGCCGCTTAATAC